ATGGGGAGGGGAGCCGAAGTGGGTCTTCCACCAGACTCCTTCCAAACATTCCAGACCTCTTTGGGTATAAGGATGCCAGGGTGCCAGGGGTTGAGGTGGAGCTCCCACCCAAACATTGAGGTTTTGTGGTGGGTTCTCTCTCTCTCTCTCTCTCTCTCTCTCTCTCTCTCTCTCTCTCTCTCTCTCTCTCTCTCTCTTCTTACCCTTAAACAAGAGCTCCTGCAAATACTCCTCAAGTGTTCCACAAAAACGAAAGGGAACACACACCGCTAAACACATTCTATGAAGGCAGTACTACTCTAATACCCAAACCAAGTAAGGACGCAATAGCAACAACACACAAAAGCAAACCATGGACCCATTCTGTTGATCAGCACAGACACAAAAATTCTCAGTCAACCCTTGCAAACTGAGCTCAGGAACACATTTAGAAGACCGTACATGATAGCCAAATTGGCTTCCTCCCAGGAGCGCAAGGATGGTTCGACATAAATAAATGTAATGCAGCAGACAAATGGACTTAAGGACAGAGATCACATGATCTTCCCGAGAGACGCAGCCCTTGGTAAAATTCATCACTTTTGCATGATGAAAATCTTGACGAGACTATGAATGGAAGAAACATATCTCAACATAAGAAAGACTGTATATGACAAAGCTATGCCCAATGTTATTGTGAGTGGAGAAAAAAAAGAAAGTATTTCTTGTAAAGTTGGGACTCATGTAAGTGTCTTAATCATTAGTCCACTGCTATGAAGAGACACCATGGCCAAGGAAACTCTTCTAAAAGAAAGCGTTTAATTAGAGGCTTGCTTACAGTTTCAGAGGGTGAGTCCATTCTTAGTCAGGGTGGGGAGCATGGTGGCATGCAGGCAGGTGTGGTGCTGGAGAAAGAGCTGAGAGCTTTATATCCTGAGCCACAGGCAGCAGGTAGAGACACTGAGCCGGGCACTGGCTTTTTAAAACCTCAAAGGCCACTCCCAACAAAACAACCTCTCCAACAAGGACACACCCCCTCCAGCAAGGACACACCTCCTCCAGCAAGGACACACCCCCTCCAGCAAGGACACACCCCCTCCAACAAGGACACACCTCCTCCATCAAGGACACACCCCCTCCAGCAAGGACACACCCCCTCCAACAAGGACACACCTCCTCCATCAAGGACACACCCCCTCCAACAAGGACACACCTCCTCCATCAAGAACACACGCCCTCCAGCAAGGACACACCCCCTCCAGCAAGGACACACCTCCTCCAGCAAGGACACACCTCCTATTCCTTCCAAACAGTTCATCAACGTGGACTAATCATGCCAATATACAAGCCTGGGGCCGGTCTCATTTAAACCACTGTAGCAAGTGTGCCCACTCCCTTCATCCTTGTGTGACACGATGTTAGAGGGCCTAGCTAGGGCATTCAAACAAGAGAAAGAAAGAAAGGGATGACAGCGGAAAAGAATAAAGTCAGTTATCCCTGTTTGTAGATAAAATGACGCTACACTTAAAAGACCCTAAAGTCTTCATCATAAAATGTTTAGCTCCAATAAACATTCTAAGCAAAGTAACTGGACACAGAGTCAACATACAAAAGTCAATTGCTTTCCTGTTTGGGAAAAAAAAGAAAGAAAGAAAGAAAGAAAGAAAACCCTCAAATTTGCAGAAAGGAATTAGTAAAATAAAAAAGCAATAAAAATCAAAATTAAGATCAGTAAAATACAAACTACATAAAATACTTAGGAATGAAACTAACCAAGGAGGTTGAAGGAGTCTACTATTAAAACTTTAAACTGGGGCTGGAGAGATGGCTCAGCGGTTAAGAGCACTGACTGTTCTTCCAAAGGTCCTGGGTTCAAGTCCCAGCACCCACATGACAGCTCACAACTGTCTGTAACTCCAGTTCCAGGGGATCCGACGCCCCCACACAATCATACATGAAGGTAAAACACCAATGCACATAAAATAAAAGTAAATAAATCATTAAAACTTGAAACCACTGAAGGGAGAAATTGGGAAGAATGCTAAAGATAAAAAGATCTCCCGTGATCACAGATTCACAGAATTAACACGGAGAAAGTGGCTTCATCACCAAAAGCAATTTACAACTCCAATGTAGTCCCCATCTCAAAATCTCAACAGCACTCGTCAAAGAAAAGGGAGGGGAAATCCCAAAATGCAAACGAAAACACAGAAGACCTGAGCAGCCAAAGCTGCTCTTCCGAACAGGAAGAGCAGTGCTAGCAGCATCGTGGTACTTGAACCCAGACTGTATTACAGAGCCACAGTGACGAAAACACACACACGCACACACATGTACACGCTCACACACGCACATGTACATGCGCTCACACACACACACAGACCAATGGAAGAAAACAGAGGACCTAGAAATAAATGCACACAGCTACAACTCCTTCATCTTTAACAGAGGTGTAAAACTTGCATGAGGAGAAAGAGCCTCTTCAACAAATGGTGCCAGGAGACATGTGAAACAATGAAACTGCGACCCACTAAGATCAAAAACAAACTCAAAATGACACGCGGTGCTATGGGAAAATACGGACAACATTTTAAGGCTCAGACAGAGACAAGGACGTTCTGAAAAGAATTCTAATAGTACAGGAAATAATCGCAAGAATTGACAAATGGGACCTCTTGCAATGAAAAAAGTCCAGTCTTCAGAACCTACATAAAAACAGAAAGATAGAACTGACTCCACAGGCACGCCATAGCACACACACACACACACACACACACACACACACACACACACACACCCATACACATGCCCACTCACTCACTCGCACTCACAGTCATAACAATAAAAGGTTCACAGCCTATAGAATGGGAGAAAAAAATCTCTGTTAACATATATATCTAATAGGATATTAATATCTGGAGTTTATAATGCAATCAAAAATTAAACACTAATAAACCAATCAATAAATGGGCTGCTTGAAAGCAGAATAGACTGTTCTCAAAGGACTGAGACCAAATGGCCAGTAAATAATTGAAGCTATGTTCAATATCCTTGGTCATTGGGGCAAATATAAATTAAAACTGCTTTGAAGTAGGTGTGGTGACCCACACCTTTAAAGACAAACAAAACTGCTTTGAGATACCTGCTCACCCACAGCAGAATGTCTATCACTGAGAAAAAGAAATAATCGGGACAAATGCTTGCAAGGATTTGGAAGAGGAACTCTTGTTTTGTCTGATGGGTATATAAACTCGAGAGCCCACTGTGGAAGCCAGTACGGAGGCTTCCTTAAAACTAGCGTACGATCAGCAACACCACTCCTGGGTTCATTCCCAAAGGATCCTGAGTCACCGTACCACAGAATACCTGCTTATCCATGTTTACTGATGTGCTGTTCATGATAGCTAAGACACATAGCCAGCTGTCCATCAACAGATGAGTGGATAGAGAAAATGCAGTCTGTATACACAATGGAATTGTATTAAGGTTTAAAAGATGAAGCTGTCATATTTGCAGGAACATGGCTTCAACTGGTGCAAAATAAGCCAACTCAGAAAGACAAATAGCATGTGTTTTCTCTGATGCACAGGTTATAGGGGTGTGTGTGTGTGTGTGTGTGTGTGTGTGTGTGTGTGTGTGTGTGTGTGTGTGAGCTCACAAATAACAACACAGAGACATTATTAATTATGAAAGTTTGGCCAATAGCTTAGGCTTGTTTCTAATACGGTCTTATAACTTGAATTAACCCATTACAACTCATTTACTTTCTGCCCTGTGGCTTTATTATCTCATCTCCATAATGCCCATCCTGTTTGCTCTGCATCTTCTAGCGTCTCTGCCTTCTTCCCAGCATCCTCTCGGCCCCCAAAATTCTGCCTAACTATTGACCATCCAGCATTTAATTAAGCCATCTTCACAGTGTACAAAAAGGTTATTCCACAACGTGTGTGTGTGTGTGTGTGTGTGTGTGTGTGTGTGTGTGTGTGAGAGAGAGAGAGAGAGAGAGAGAGAGAGAGAGAGAGAGAGAGAGAGAGAAAGGCATGAAAACAGAGATCGTGGGAGGGAGGAAGAGATCTAAAGGAAGGAGGGGACAATGGGATATATGTGACATGATCGGAAGTGAGACTTTTCTGGGAGGAAGGAAGTCAGCGAGAAGGACAAAGAAATGGCAGAGGATGGGGCATGGGATTAAAAACAAAGTATGATGACACATATGTATGAAAATCTATGCATGCTACTCGTGACAGCCAGTCTTGGTCACCTACTTGACTGGATCTGGAATCAACCAAGACCCTGGGCACCCCGGTGAGGGCTCTTCTTGACTGCATCATCTGAGGCTGGAAGACCCACCCTCAGTCTGGGCCTCACCTTCTGGTGGCAGCCCACATACGAGGACAGGGAAGAAGGAAGCTTTTGCCTTTTGCCTGCTTGCCCTCGCTCTTGCTGGTGAACTCATCTACCCCATTGCCACGGCAACCCTTGGCTGGTGGTAGGATCACCTTCTTCAGGATTCCAGTGTAGACTGAAAAGCAGTATCTCCCCAGGCCATCAGCACCAGATTGGGACTGCAGAGATATCCGGCCTTGTAGACAGATGACTACAGATTCTAATGTGAGACAGCCACCTGCGCCGAATCCTGCAAGCCCATCCAATAAAGCTTATATATATATATATTCTATCAATGCTGCCCCTTTACAAGGACTCTGACCAGCGAGTAGCTCATGAATCCATCCATTCATTTATTCGTTTGTTCAGCCAACATTTGGCTTAGGATGGGCCTGATGATATCTTCAATTCTTACAGCACATTCTAAACTGTACCACATAATAAATGTTGGGCATGACAGTAGTGATGTAAGATGCCAACCTAATCCAAATATGGGGTGGGGGAAGATACTTGGTCAATAAAGGACTCCTAAAGACCTCACTGTCCATAATAGGATATTATAATTTTAATTACCATTGTGTAGACTGAAGGAACACTCGTAGTTAATACAGAAATATCACCCCCACACTGAACCATCAGCCAAAAATTTGTCTATGTCTTTATTTTATTTTAGGAAAACACATGTCTGGTCACAAGATACCTTCAGAGAGCAAGATAAGCCAGGAGAAGTGTAGGATGGAGTGAGACGATAAATCCTGGGCCACTGCCACGCTCAAGGGGTGGAGCTGACACAAAATTATTTTCTTCCTGGAAAAGCAAGGTTAACTGATGCTGTGGGACCCAAAGGGCCGCTGGATTTACAGCATTTCCAGCTGAGGAGGAGCAGAGACCGTCACAGGGCTGAGTTATAATGCCTCTCTATTGATCAGGTGATTGCCCCACTCTGCATCCAGCAATCAGGGGATGAGAAGCAGAGGCGAGATGGTTGTGGTTACAGTTCTTATGTAGTTCTCGAAGTCGCTTCCGAAGAAGAAGATGAGGTAATGGTTGAGTACTCCGGCAAGGGACATGAGGAACAGAAACAGGATGATCCGCTTGCCGAATATGTAGCCAGGGGTGCTGCAGAAGAAGGGGAAAGTGGGGATAGACACAGACAAATGACACCCACTTCACCCCCAAAAGGCTGCCGCTTGTAGACACCCGGGGTTCAAAGTCTAACTCATTTACTCAACAATGCTCCATTTACCCTCTTCCCTCATGGCAATGGCAGAAGTGCCTTTGCTATCCACCACGGAGCGTGCTCCAGAGCCAGATGAAGGAGCCCGCTTTCTGAGCCTGTCATCAAAGGCCTGTCATCGTTAGGGCTCAGTGGCACTGGCTTCCCTGCATTCTCTTAGTGTCCTTAACTCCAGCTCCTTGATGACAGGATCCTGGCAGGTCCTGACAGTGGTCAGACGATCTGACTGAGGCTTGGGAGCACCATGGACTCATTAAGCGCCTCTGCAGGGTGTCAAGGTCTTGCAGGTCCCTGTCAAGAGTGCCTATAAGGCTCATGCTAGACGCTGGATGTGATGGAGATTGTGCTGGGGAGGAGGTTTAAATAAGCCGGTGAAGGCGCTTCAGCCTACCCTCCTGAGGTTGCCAGGGAAGAACCGAGGTTTGCACTAATGGGAGATGAGCACCCAGTGATGGAATCTGCTCTTACATTCCAGAGAAGTGAGAGAAAAGGAAGATTTTACTCTCCCCTCCCCCACTCTCCCCTCCCCTCCCCCTTAACCCTATCCCCCTCCTTGCCTCTCCTTTCTAAACTGCCAGGGGTAGGAGTCAATTCCTCATGAGAAGTGACTGTCCAGCGGCATGCCAAGGCTACCCACGTTCTCTGTCCCTCTGCAAGACCCTGGCTTGCTGGGCCTGGGCCCATCTGAGTGGAGCTGACCTGTCTGGAAAGGGCCGTGAAATGGTGTGTTAAGATTGTTGGTAAAGAACCAGTCCAGGGCATGGGACAATCCGCACTAAGGGCCAAGCAAAGCCCACTCAGCAGGACAGGTGTTCTCCCGCTGCCACATGCAGTTTCAAGCTGTCACCTGAGGGAGCCAAAGCCAGCGTCCACAGTTCTATACCAGAACTTTATGTAGTCGAAAGGAACCCCAGAGACTCTCAAACAAGTGTTTGAAAGTTGCCCAGCAGTTGGGTGCCAACCTCTTCCCTACTCTGTCCCCCTTGGACTAAAAGCATCTACTGGGAGCTTGTGGGGAACTGAAACTCCCAAGTCCTTCTGAAACCAGGACACAGACCCTGCATTCCAACAAGCTCCCCATGCAGCTCACAGACAATGGAACTTGAGATGCTCAACCAGCTGGCTCTTACTACTTGGGTAGAAAATGCCACTAAAGGCCCACGTGTTGAAGGGTCTCCAGTTGGTGGCATTATGAACAAATCATTGGGTCACGAGGGTACTAACCTCATCAGTTCACAGCTGGATGGGCTTTTGGGGGAGTGGGGTGCTATCAGAAGATGTAGGTCACTAGATCCCTCTCTCTTAAAATTCTTTAGCATTGACTGTCTGATGGTGTGTGTGCACACGCCACAGTACCTATGCTGTCAAGGCAACTTGTAGGAGTCCATTCTCCCCATGGCGTGAATTCCAGGGATGGAGTCAGGTAGTCAAGGATTGGGAGTGTCATAGTCCAAGGAAGGAGGGCTGGGTGGGGCTCATCTGTAGACAGTGCAATGAACTCATCTGTAGCCTCGGACTTGTGTATTACTAAATCTTGTATTCTCAATGGTCCTGTGGGTCCCCGGATCTATTTATTACTCAAGAGAAGCTGTGGTAAAGGTGCAAACTTTAGGTCTCATTTCTCTTGACAAACGCTGAGATGTTTAATTCACAAGAGGCCAGGGAAAGCAGACCTGAAAAGCTACTGTTGCCCCAGATTCCACCACAGAGAACAGCTGGTATGCGGTTGCAAGCAATGTACAGCCCAGCATGCTGAAACACCCCTGTGAGCCAAGGCTATGCGAAGGAAAAATTTAATGGGAAAACTAGGCAACTCCCCAGTTTTATTTTCAAAGCCCTTAAAGTTCGGGGAGGGGGGTCCTAGCCTGTCCTCCCTTCATCCAAGGAGATCCTATTGAGTTCTCAGTGGCAGTCAGAGTGTTCCTGGGCAGGAACACCCTCCTCCTGGGAAAGCATTCATCAAATCAAGTTCTTCAGCACCCTGAGACCTACCTCTGAGTTCTCTCTCCCAGATAGCCCACGAAGTACTTTTGCCTCACAAGCAAATACATCAGTCCCGCGAAGGCAGCAGGAACTAAGCAGAGAAATGAAAACACACGGATCAGTTTCAGTCTCCCGAAACGTTGTCCACACAACAGTAACAGTGGTTAAGCAATTAGCGTTTGATCACAAAATCCATCAGAGACCCCGGGTTCTGAAAGCGGAGCCTTGCACAGTCTCCGTTTGGGTTTCTATTGCTGTGCTAAAACATTGTAACCAAAAGCAACTTGGAGAAGAAAGGGTTTCTTTCAGCTTCCAGCTCCACATCAGGATCCATCATCGAAGGAAGCTGGGGCAGAAACTCAAGGCAGGAACCTGGAGGTAGGAGCTGACACTTTGGCCACGGAGGACCAATACTCACTGGCTTGTTCCTCATGGGTTACTCAGTCTACTTTCTTATACACCCCAGGACCACCTGCCTGGGTGGGTAGTGGCACCACCCATGTGGCATGGGCCCTCCTCCATCAATCGTGAACCGAGATACTACTCCACAGACTTGTCTATAGACCAATCTTATATTCTCAGTGAAGTTCCCTCTTCCCAGACATAGCCAGGTTTGTGTCAAGCTGACAAAAAGCAACCAGCAGACATACACTTCAAATAAAAGTGAAGTGCTGGGTGGAGGGCAAGTACTGGGATAATAGATTACCTTGACCAGCCCTGTGGCATGCTACACAGAGTACCTGCTTAAGAATCATCTGATGTGATATGGGAAGCTGGACTCGGGCAGCCAGGGGGCCTTGTGTGAGGCCATCAACTGAAAAGGAAGGCAGGGAAAGGGTCACCACGAGAACCAAAGCCCCACTTCTGAGACCGGTCCCTGTGCACCTGGGGTTTCTGGCCTCTAGGGAAGATTTCTTTGCATTCTAACATCTGGGGAAACAGCTGCAGACAGAACTCCAGTCACCCCCATAAAATCTTAAATTTAGGGTTGGGAGCTGAAAACACCAGTTCTCTATGAGTAGGATGATCTAGAACAGGTGCTTAACTGGTCCTGTGTGTGGACAGAGGCTGAACACAGCTCTCCTACTGTGTGTGGACAGAGGCTGGTCACAGCTCTCCTACTGTGTGTGGACAGAGGCTGGTCACAGCTCTCCTACTGTGTGTGGACAGAGGCTGAACACAGCTCTCCTACTGTGTGTGGACAGAGGCTGGTCACAGCTCTCCTACTGTGTGTGGACAGAGGCTGGTCACAGCTCTCCTACTGTGTGTGGACAGAGGCTGGTCACAGCTCTCCTACTGTGTGTGGACAGAGGCTGGTCACAGCTCTCCTACTATGTAAGGATAAAGACTGGTTACAACTTTTCTATCTTTTAAGAACGAGCATAGGAGTAAATAGGACTATGTGAGTAAAAACACTTTGAAAATCCCCCAGCATTATTCAAACACCAAAGCAGGTCCCATTAGTGAGAACCTCACAGGAGCCAGGCACCTTGGGCTCCAAAACCACCGACTGGTTGGGAGAGCTTTCCTGCCTCTGTTTTGCAGAAGAAGAAATCTAAGTAAAGACCAAAAGTCCATAAGGATACTGTCTTTTCCAGGATCACCTCTGTGCTTGCTGGAGTGCCTGGAGCATGTAGGCTTTCCATAATATTTATCAAATGAATGTTTTACTGAAGTCCAGCAAGTATCATCCAGGTCTTTCTGATTTCAAAACCGTATCACTGCCATCGGCAGCATTGGTAACATTTATGGAGTTCCCATTGTTAATTTGAACCATACAGAAGAATCATTTTTTAAAGTTTTTTTAATATTCATTTTTATTTTACGTGTATGAGTATTTTGCCTTCATGTATGTATATGCACCATCTGCATGCAGTACCCACAGAGGAAGGGAGAGAGAGCCCATGGAACTGGAGTTACAGCTGATTGTGAGCTGCCATGCGGGGGGCTGGGAATTGAACCTGGGTCCTCTGCAAGAGCAGCAAGTGCTTTTAAACGCTGAATCATCTCTCCAGCCCCGCAAAAGTAACACTTTTTTGATAGACTTGCCAGAATACATATTTTCTCCTTTGTGGTTGGTATTGTCCCCTCTCAGAATTTAGAATTGTCTTGGGGGTGAGCCTCTGGGCATGCCTGTGGGAAGTCATTTTGATGATATTAGTTGATGTGGGGGGATGCATCTTAACTTTGGGCAGAACCATTCCCTAGGCAGGGTACCCTAGATTGGATATAAGCGGAGGAAGCACACTGAGCATTCATGCATTCCTTCATCCCTGCTCTCTGTTCCTGAGTACAGATGCTACGTGACCAGCTCCCTCGAGCTCTGTGACCTCTCTACTGTAAAGGAGTGTAACTTAGAATTGTGTGCTGAAATAAATCTTTTCTCAAGAGGAAAAAAAAAAAGTAATACTTGGTGTGTGAGCCAGAAACAGCAAAGTTCTCAATAGATACAAGGCTCAAGTGTTTTGTGTTGAAGCTGCTGTGGGCTTCATGGACACCGTTTCCCTTCCTCACCATGAGGACTTTAACATGAGTCAGTGGATAATGGTCTTATTTTACAGTAAGGAAACATAGGTTGAGAAAAGCCCCCCCAAAAAAAATCACACTGGGAATGGTGGCTCACACCTGTAATCCCAGCACTTGGGAGACTGAGGGGAGTTCAAGGTCAGCCTAGGATACATGTCAAGAATCCAGAAAGAAGCTAGGCAGTGGTGGCGCTCGCCTTTAATCCCAGCCCTTGGGAGGCAGAGGCAGGCAGGTCTCTATGTGTTTGATGCCAGCCTGATCTACAGAGTGAGTTCCAGGACAGCTAAGGCTACAAAGAGAAACCCCGTCTCATGGGAGTAGGAGAGAACCTATAGAGAGAGGGGCTGGAGAGATGAGCCAAGAGCCTTGCTGCACTTCCAAAGGACCAGGGTTTGATTCCCAGCACACAAGCCAGCTGCTCCCATCCTTCTATAACTCCAGTTCTAGGGGAGCTGACACCCTCTGCTGGCCTCCAGGGGCAGCTACATTCATGTGCACAAACCCATGCACAAACCCATTCACAGACACACAGACACAGAATTTAAAATAAAATTAACCATTTTTAAACCATCTAGAAATAAAGGAGGGGGAAGAAAACCAAACTTCAAAGTCTGTCCTAATTCCTAAAAGTCACAAGACTGCCACAATTAATTATGTCACAATTAATGATTTGCTCTGCATAAAGTTTCCCCGTCTGGACATCTCTGTTCTGACTTTCATTGGCCTATTTCTCCTTCAGTTGGAATTCAACTGGACATAAACTGATGGGCAACAGGTGTGGAAAGGATTCCTATCTCCTGCCTTATGCAGGGAATAGCAGAGACCTTTCAAGGGGAACTCGAGCCATGTGAACCACAAAGCAGGTACAAACCTAGGTTCTAAAATTATGAAATTAAATAAGCCACTTGTCCGTCCGGATCTTGGGATAGTCTCTGAAGTGAGAGGTCTGGAACAGAATAGTCTCTGGGGTTCCTTTCAGCTAAACAACTTATATAATCTCTGCATTCATAAAAAGATGGCAATGATCAACCGTAGCTGACTGGTGCGTTTGAGCCCTGGCGATGTGGGTGTTTGTTTTGACAGAGACGCATGTTTCCAGGGCTCTGAAATATTCTCAGACTCCCTTTGTAAATCACCTAGCTGGAGAGGCAACAGCAGATTTATCTAGCATCATTCAGACCCAACAAGACTCACAACTCTTCATATGGATTTTCTTTGACTTGATTTTTCAAATAATGCCAGATACATTTTTATAATCCCACTCAGGGTAGAAAATGGAAAATAAATGATGAGCTACTGAGAGCCTTCAAGGCGCTAAAGGAGACTATGTGACATCTCTTCAGTGGTTTCTAATGCTCGTGGGAGTAAGTCTCACTGTTGGCAATAACATGTCCATCTATCTACTTATCTTATTTTTAAAAGGATTAATTTTTTATTGTTGTTTTAATTATATGTATAGGTATATGTATGGGGGGTTATGTGTATGTAGTACCCCTGGAGGTCAGAAGAGGGCATCAGAGCCCCCTAGAGCCAGAGTCACAGGCAGTTGTGAGCTGCCTAGAGTAGGTGCTGGGAACTGAACTCTGGTCTTCTACATGAGCAGCAAATGCTCTTAATCACTGATCCCCCCCTCCAGCTCCCATCTACCTACTTTGTAACTGTCCTTTTGTGTATTATTAACCTTCCTACATTCAGGACAAAGTTGGCATACAATTAATGTTCAAAGTGTATTTACAATATAAATTAATCCAGTAAAAGAATGCTTAGAGAAACTCCAGAACTCGGAACTGAAAGAGCCAGCCAGGCTCTAATCCTGCCCATGAGCTCACCAGTTGACGAACCCTGAACTTTGTTCCCTGAACCCAAGTGCCCTCAAGGGTCGCAGGGAAATTAACATCTACTGGACATACTTTATAGAGCAGTAGAAAATGATAATAATCCAGGGGTTTGTCAAATGATCGCTTCTGGCCTTTCTGTATGGGCCCTGCTGGACCACTGAAGCGGCTCCAATCACACTGAGCCGCCACCAGACAAATGCAGGTCTTGGCCAAGGCTTTCTGGTGCTCCATCTCCAAAGAGAGCCAACAGCATATGATTCTGGTTTCCATTTAATTGCAGAGCACCTCTGGGAATCCAGCTGTCCTTCAGAATCGTTGAAATCAAGACTGTGTGCAGCTGATCACCCAGGTTCGGCTGGAGCCCAGCCCGTGCTCCGTAGATGCATGCCCGAGGAAGGGCCAGGGTGCTGCGAGCTTATTAACCCAAGAGCCAGCAGCGGCAGTCCCCAAATAGAGCCCTCTGGCGCTCTCATTTACAATGCCCTTGTATCTGAGCTAACACTGCTTACAGATTCTGAGTCACATTTAGCCTTAAACCACCCTTGTCAACGAAGCGCTCTCAACCAGCCGCCAGGGAGCAAGCATTAATGATGCATGACCACGCCACACTGCGCCTGCACTGAGCATGCCCGGAACACATCTCTCCAGGGCAACCTGGATAAGAGCTGTAGGTCCAGTCGAGGCTATTCCACAAAATGCCTGCCCTTTGAACCCCTGAGAGCTGCACATTATAGAAAAAGGACTCACAAAGAGACGTCACGGTTACCTTGGCTGCAAAGTAGTCCGGCAGTCCAGAGTACCACAAGGAAAGTGGGGTATGCATCGACGCAGTTCTGGCTGTAGGGCAAACAGGGCAGAAAGAAATCAGAAAACACGTGACTACAGTGTGGCCTGAAAATTACCTGAAGACCCCAGTTCATAATCACCGTTGTGCAGGGGTCACAGGCCCCTCTCTTGTCTTCCGCCTACCCTGAGGGAGCAGCCAGCAGCACATCCAACAGATAGTGGGAACAAGGAAGCGCGCTCAGAATTCATTAACTCTGCTCTCAGGTGAAGCGCATCAGAGGCCGTTTCTTTGGCAGAACTCCTGTGGTGGGTGGTGCCCATGCACTTCTTGGAGTAACAAGTGAGCGACGCAGACGACAAGGGGTGGCAGAGGGGAAAATGCCCAGCCAAGGGAAACTGTGTCCCGTGGGAAGCAGCAGGCCAGTGGAAAAACGGATCCTCACAGCGGTAAAGAAACCAAGGTCCATTCACAAAAGGCGATGCGAGAGGGCATTCCCCGGGAATGCTGCCACTCCACGCCGGGCACTGTGCTGGCGTTTGCCATCTGTCCTCTCCCTTGTAAGCGTCCCACGTTCCTGGGACTGCACTGGATGACTCTGGGTTTGCTTTAGCGATTGTAACACTCGGCCACCACCTCAGTGGCTTAAAACGCCACAGATTCCAGAGGGCAGAGTCCGAAATGAATCTCCCTGAGCTGTAGCTCAGGTGTGGGCAGATTTGCATTCCCTCTGAAGCTCAAGGGGGTTGGAGAAGGGAGGGGGCGGCTAGTGCCTTGACTCTCCAGACTCTGAGGATACTCCAGTATTCTTTGGCTCATGGCACTTTCCAATCTCAAAGCCAAGGACGACCAATGAGCCTTTCTTAATGTAAAGCCTGTCTCCTCATTTAAAAGACTCTATTTATGGGTCTGGGGAGAAGGCACGGTTACTAAGAGCTCTTGATGCTCTTCCAGGGGACCCAACTTTAGATCCCAGCATTTATCTCCATTGGCTCACAACTACTTGTAACTCCAGCTCCAAGGGAGGGATGCAACATCCTCTTCTGGCATCTTTGGGCACCTGAACACACACACACACACACACACACACACACACACACACAAATAAGCCTGACTTACATGAGCCAGGAAAGATTTTTTTTTCCAAAACCAATTTGCATTTCTCCATATAATAAAATGACAGCCTCATAGGAATAGGGTGTGTTAGGGGGCATTATTCTGCCTACCATAACTACAGTCATATTCAGAGAAGAAACCAAATGCCTAGAGTAGCTGATTAACTCTCCAGGGTTTCCCAGCTCAGGAGTGGGGGCTGAAGAAGGCCAGAATTCACACCCAGCCTCCTTGTCTCCAAACCCTGGAACTTTTTCACTACGCAAACAGTAAGTGTTCTTGGGTGCAGCTTGTAGACCCTAAACTAGAATTTAAAAAATACATGCAGCTGGGCGGTGGTGGCACACACCTTTAATCCCAGCACTCTGTGAGTTCAAGGCTAGTCTGGTCTACAGAGTGAGTTCCAGGACAGCCAGGGCTGCTACACAGAGAAACCCTGTCTCGAAAAACAAACAACAACCAAAAACCTGCAATGAATACGGAAAAACCCTGGAACAAAGGTAGGAGAGGTATTCAGGGAGCCAGAGGAGACTGGAAAGAACAGCTGTCTGGGACGCGGTCAGGGGACTTGGCGGGATTTTAACCAGCTTCGGCATGAGCTGCTTCTCTGGGTTCCATGTCCTCACCCACAAAATGAAGAGCGCGGCAGTAACTCTGCCCTCTGAGGTTCTAAGACAGGGGTGTAATGCAGAGGTTCTCATGTGGGCCCCATCCCAGAAGTCCTCACACCCAGCCTGTTTGTCTCCAAACCCTGGAACTCTTTCACTATGTAAACGAGGCAACTGAGGACGTATTAGATACACAAGTGCACATGCCAGCTCAGGCATGTGGCACTGGAAACTGGGCAAGGTGCTCAGCCACCGGTGCCTTAGCCAGCCTTCCAGGTGGTTCCACGCATGGTGCAGTTTGGGGCAATGGGTCGGCAGGGTTTAAGCTACGAAGGTAAAAGCCAAAATTCGGCCGGGCGGTGATGGCACACATCTTTAATCCCAGCACTTGGGAGGCAGAGCCAGGTGGATCTTTGTGAGTTCGAGGCCAGCCTGGACTACCAAGTGAGTTCCAGGAAAAGGCACAAAGCTACACAGAGAAACCCTGTCTCGAAAAACCAAAAAAAAAAAAAAAAAAAAAAAAAGCCAAAATTCGATGTTCAGGCTGCTTCTGGCTAGGGTCTCATGCCTCAGAGCCACTCAGAGTCTGCTGTTCTCGTTTGAGTACGGGTGCAGTCCCCCATATATTACATGCACTACATATTGGCATACACTGCACACTGGTCCCAAGAACGCAGTGCTAAAGACCTCCGGGAGACGGGCCTATGAGCCGTCACTGAAGACATGCCCTGAAAGCGTTTGGGGGACACTCTCTCCTCTCTCCCCCTGACCACTCTCCCTCTCCCCCTCCTCCCCTCTTTCTCTGGCTTGTTTATGACCCCTCAGCCTAACACCTTTCCACTGTGATCCAAGCTATGCTGCCCCCACCGTTAACCCAACCCTATGGGGCCAGCTGATCTTCTACTTGAACCTCCAGAACCACGATCCCAACAAACCTCGGTACTTCAAAACCAGCCTGTGACAGCTGTTTTGGTATAGCAGTGAAAACCTTGGCTTGCTTTTGCTTTCTATGGCTGGGATATAACATCATAACCAAAATCAGCTCGGGATAAAAGGGTTTTATTTTCTCACCTTACAGCTTATAGTCCATGAAGGGAGGTCAGGGAGAGAACCTGGAGGCCAGAACTGAAGCCGAGGCCATGGAGGAGAGCTGCTTATGGGCTTGTTACCCTTGTTCAGCCTGCTTTCATTCTTTTTTTTTAAATAATTTATCTGTATTTTGTGTGCATTGCTGTTTTGTCTACATGTATATCTGCATGTATATCTGTGTGAGGGTGTCAGATCTCGGAGTTACAGACAGTTGCTAGCTGCCATGTGGGTGCTGGGAATTGAACCCTGGTCCTCCAGAAAAGCAGTCAGTGCTCTTAACCACTGAGGCATCACTCTAGCCCCCCTCAGCCTGCTTTCTTTCTTTTTTTTTTTTTTTTTTTTGTTTTTCGAGACAGAGTTTCTCTGTGTAAGCTTTGCACCTGTCCTGAATCTCACTCTGTAGACCAGGCTGGCCTCAAACTCACAGAGATCCACCTGGCTCTCCCTCCCTAGTGCTGGGATTAAAGGCGTGCGCCGCCGCCGCCGCCGCCGCCGCCGCCGCCACCACCACCACCACCACCACCACCACCCGGCTCTGCTTTCTTATACTACCCAAGACCACCAGCCTATGGGTGGTACAGCTCACAGTGGGCTGGGCTCTCCCACATCCATCATGGATTAAAAAAATGTCCCCACAGACTTGCCTACAGGTCAATATGATGGAGGCATTTTCTTATTTGGGGTTCCTCTTCCCAGAGGACTCTAGCTTGTGTCAAGTTGACAAAAAATTAACCAGCACAGCTGGATAATACATCTGGATTAATCAATCACCCTTGATCCATATGGTATAGAGAGCCTAGAGATGTCAGGTTGTCCTTTCCCAGCCATGAGGACCTTTATGTCCCTCTATAGTCAAAGGAGCCTTTCACTAAAGAAGTTTGCGAATGTCAGAGGTGACAGACCCATGCCTCCTCTCCTGGAGACAGCTTCAAACTAGGCACAGCACACAAGGCAGAACCCACTGGTCTCATGGGGTGGTGATCTGCACCCACACAAGTTCCACGGGTCTGGTGAATACAGAATTCCAAAGGGCCCTCACACTGTTTGCAGTTCCTGACTTACTCAACAGATGGGTCCACATTAAACTGCAGCAGCCCTGGGCTGGCAGCAGTGTTCCCATGCCCACTTACCAGTAGAGTCGCAACACCACAGCCTCCGGGTTGAGAGACGGCGATCCGTCTCCCAGCTCAAGGAAGGCAGGGAGAAACGCTTCCCCCTGGTTACCAGCATACAGTCAGCTGACTTTACGATGAGTAACAAGGATTTTTCTCTGCTTCAGCCCGATCCTCATATTTTGTCTGTTTTGAAGCGGTCGTTTGGGAGGGGGTGTGCATGTTGGTGTGCATGTGTGCACATGTGTGTGGAGCACAGAGGTTGGTGGCCTGGGTCTGTCACTGAGTCTGGAGCTTGTGGATTAGGCTGGCCCATGAGGCCCTGGGATCTTCCTGTCTCTCCCTCCCCGGCACTGGGATCCACTGTCTCTGGCTCTCCGGCACTGGGATCCACTGTCTCTGGCTCTCCAGCACTGGGATCCACTGTCTCTGGCTCTCCGGCACTGGGATCCACTGTCTCTGGTCTCCGGCACTGGGATCCACTGTCTCTGGTCTCTGGCACTGGGATCCACTGTCTCTGGCTCTCCGGCACTGGGATCCACTGTCTCTGGTCTCCGGCACTGGGATCCACTGTCTCTGGCTCTCCGGCACTGGGATCCACTGTCTCTGGCTCTCCGGCACTGGGATCCACTGTCTCTGGCTCTCCGGCACTGGGATCCACTGTCTCTCCCTCCCCGGCACTGGGATCCACTGTCTCTCCCTCCCCGGCACTGGGATCCACTGTCTCTCCCTCCCCGGCACTGGGATCCATTGTCTCTGCCCCCTGGCGCTGGGCTACAAGCTTCCATCACTCCACCCAGTTCCCTCCTCTTCTCTTTTTTCTTCACAGGGCTGCTGAGGCTCGAACTCCGGTCCTCATGATGGCAGAGCGAGCACTCGCTGCCTGCTGCCTGAGCCGTCTCCACAGCCCATGAAGTAGTAACTCTGGCTCGGGGATGAAAAGGGGAGGGGCCCTCGCTACCCGGGGGTCTGTACCTCAGAGAGAGCTGTCCAGTGACCAGGCAGGCTTCCCACTGCTCTTGCCTATACTCCAATCACCCTCTTCCGAATGAAACACGCTCCGTGTGGAGTCGGTACAGCTGAATGAACCCCCCCCCCCCCCACACACACACACACAGTACTACCACATTTCTTCTCCTTTTGAGGAGCTTTGTATCTTTTCTTTCTCAAAACGGAGCTGGTAATCCCATCTTGACTCTCATTCAGGTCTGAGCAGAGCCTGCTCAGCTGGCCTTGCAATGAATCGCCATGCTGTAAAGCTGAAGCCCCACAATCTGACTGTTTTATGGAGAGGCCCTGGGCTATCTTTTCTTTCCTTTTTTTTTCCCACCTCTGGAAATACAATAGAGAAACACTTTAGAATTCTGTTGGTTTGTTTGGATTACGTGGAAATAAGGAAGTACCATGAATAAGAGCTAATCACACTATCGACACCGGTCAGCCTCCTTGTAGATACAGTGGCTTAAATTACTATACACTGCTTGAAAAAAAAAATGAGCCCACAGTGGACACCAAGAGATGCTGGAGTATCGTGACATTTCTCCGAATGTGTTCTGACAAAAAGTGAGCAGAAAGGGAATCTCTGTGGTTAATTACGCCACCCCGCTCTTGGTGAACTAGACTGTCCTTTGGAGCTTCTCAGGCATCACCAGGAAGTACTTTGTTCTTTGTTGTATCATTTGTTAATGACTCATGGATGTGGAAGCGTAGAACACATTTCAGGAAATTACACCTCTCTGTTCAGCCATCTCATGCCACAGCTTTGCTTACCTGCGCTCACTCCCCAGGAAGAACCCACAGTCAGCTAACGAGGATCTTCCTCCCAAAGTCAAACTTGAACTCAAACTCACTAGCTGTGCTGATGCTCCAAGACCAGCGCGTTGGTCTGCATCCTGCACGCGTGAAAGAGCCAAGGTCCAGCTCCTTGTATCCAGAAAGCTCTGGCTCGGCACCGCCCTGGTGGCCGTGCGTTGAGGGATCTCACGTGATGGACTCTACTGAGGCTGGCTGGGTCATGTGATCATCCACTGTCCCAGACTCTCTATCTATATCCCAACAGTCACAGCTCATGCTAAAATAACGTGCCTTGGGCTTCTATGTCCACCAGTAAATATCATTGTCTTTCAGGTTATTTCCTTTGTAGCCAAGATCTCGAAATATTCATGATCCTACACTCATCAACAAAAATCTGGGTCTTATCAGGATGGTGGTGGCACATGCCTTTAATGCCAGCAGTTGAGAGGCAGAGGCAGGTGGATCTCTGTGACTTCGAGGCCAGCATGGTCTACAGAGTGAGTTCTAGGACAGCCAGAGATACACAGAGAAACCCTGTCTCAAAAAGAAAAAAAAAAAATCTGGGTCTTACAGCTTATGACAGATATATTTATGTATTAATTGTATATAGCTTATAGTGTAGTATACTGTATGTATAGATATGTGTGTATTTATGCATGTATATATATATACATATATAGTGTACTAATGTCATTCTGTGTATTAGCAACAGATACGGCTTCACATCCTAAATTTTAGATAGCAAGATTAAATGCATGCTCTTGGGATAGAGAGATGGCTCAGAGGTTAAGAGCACTGGCTACTCTTGCAAAGGACCTAGGTTTGACTACCAGCACCCACACGAAGTTATAATCATTTGTAACTCCAGTTCCAGTGATCCGATGCCCTCTCCTGGTCTCCATGGTCACTGCACACACATGGAGCACATACATACGTGCAGGCCAGACACTCAACACATAAAAATAAGTGACTCTTTAAAGACATCCTCCTCTTTTCTTCTTCTACCTCTTCTTGGTGCTTTTGGGGTGGGGTGGGGCGGAGCAGAGACTGCTGGTGTGGCTTTCTATTCGCCCTCAGCACCTTCCGGGTGGTCACCTGGCCCAGCCAAACAGCCAGGGTACACCTAGCCCTTGCCAGGATCCTGCTCTTCTGATCTCCAGTCCCTTATGCAACCTGCACATGCGTGCACGGATGCTTGTTGGCCAAGGGAGGAAGTGGTCTCTGTAACAGACCACAACAGTGTCTGAGCAACTTCTATCTTAGAGAAAGTTCTCTCCCCCGGGTCTTAACTTCCTACCACGCCACACAACTTCCCTGTCTGCTCCTTCGCCTCCACCTCTCAGGAGGGCTGAGTGGTAAAGACTGGGACTTTGAAAACCAGGCTGTAGTGTCTTCATGGTTGGGTCCCCACACACAGCCATCACCCGATACTCGCCTCGCACATATTCTTATCTTGGGGACCACCACACAATCACAGGGTTTCTAAGCCACTCTCCCCGGTCACGCGGTTCAACCACCAGCTTCAGGGGACTTGTGCAACTTGGAGGCCAGCGGCTCTGGGCTCGCAGAAAACAAAGCTATTTCTCTAGCAGGGGAAAGCGGTGGAGATGAGACGGCTAAGACCCAGCACGGGGGTACACGCCTGGAATCCCAATCCTGGGCAGGGCACCGGCAGAAGGACCACACGTTTGAGGCTAGCCTTGGCTACACAGTGAGACCGTGTGTCAAAAAAAAGAAAGAATCCAGATTGCCCAGGATGCTTCATTCCCTGTGCATTGCCAGCATGGTGGGAACTTAACTTCTAAGAATGTGCGGGCCGGTCCACTGCAGCTTCTCACTGGAGAGGATTGAGGCATCTGTAAAAACTCTGTCACTGTGAGAAAGTAATTATCAGGGCAGAAGGACACTGCTCACCCCCACTGCTAGAAACTGTGGTTTTCTTTCAACAATTTTGTCTCCACCCCTGATCAGAGATATACCTTTACATCTCTTGCACATGACATTTCTGAGGGCCCCTTTGTGTTATCTCCACAGAAAATGGTGCAGAAACATTGGCGCCAACCTATATATTCTCTCTGCTCTTCTTCAAATGGGTCTGTAACGCCTTTTAACCCACATCTTTTAATGCCTTACATTGACTCTGAGGATTAACAAAGCCAAGGTCTACATGCTAACAAAGAAATCTCCCTGTGGGTACTTCAGCAAAGTATTTCCTTCAGCTGGCAGGAGTGTCTGCTGTGGAGGACCAGGCAGGTGGGGTGGAAATAGAGCATCTAGGAGTGCTCTGTGGGGACTCCGAAAGTAACTGTGAGTGCTCCAGACAAGGCATGCACCAATTTAGAAGCTTAGGGGCAAAGGGAGCCAGGGCTGGGAAATATCAATGGAGAAGACCCTCCCTGGAATTGCACACACCCTATACCTCACAGAAAGAGTGAATAGCATCTACGAGAGAGAAGATGTAGTCATTCCTGAGGTCCATCCTATCCTCACCCCCGGAAACAGTTTAGTTCACAAGAAGCCAATGATAGCTGAGTGGGAGCCCCACCAAGCTGCTCACACAGGTCTGGCAGGGGCCCCTTACAGAGCCTCCTGACCTTCCCAGAGAGTCCCTGGCTTTGATCCTACAGTTGGATGGCCGTGACTTTCCCTTGGAAGAACCAAAGTCACCCCTAGGGTTGGAACTGACACCCTCTCTCAAAGTAGCCCTACATCAAAGCAGGGAGCCTGCCCTTCTGGCCGCCAGCATGCCCGGCTGACCCCTGTTTAAATATATTCTGCATAAAGGAAGATCATGTTTGAGTAATGTCTTCTCAGGGTTGTGAGCCAAACAGAACCCCACAAACCTCTTTCCAAGGCTGTTCAGGTGTCTGCCAACAGCTTTTCTATTCAAAAGTCAAGGCAAGAGGGCAGGGGAATATATTACTCAGAGCTTCCATCTTTCTGTTCTCATTTTGGTTACTCAAGGGGACCCTGTGTTATAAAACTCACTGATGTCACCTCCAGACTGCCACCGGACAAGGCCAGGGTGGTATGCGGGAGGCGCTTTTAGAGCTGCTGTGAATCACAGCTGGCTTGCGATGAAGAGCTTCAACGCCCACAGGAAACTGGTCCCTGGGTGTTTCTGGATCACAGAGCCCATTCCGCCCTCCCCTGCCTCACTTCCTTCCTCTAAGGCTTGTGATCTCCAAGATGAGGAAGGGCATCCAGAAGCCTTCCAAGTGAAGTCCAACCTTCCCAGAAGCCTGCCTCCTGAACACTCTGAAGGTTGGCAGAGGCAGATGTGCCCTGGAGGACAGTCTCATCCCTTCATGCCCATGTCCCCACTATTAGCAGCATCAGAGTTGGAACTCACTTGGCAGTGTAGACCCGCTCAAAGGCAAGAGTCCCGGTCCTCTGGAAGCTTCTCCCATTCTGCGTCTTGCTTTCATGCTCCACCTTGTGGGCGAAGAATGCTGCCAGAAGGAAAGATTTGGACGTGGTTCGTAATCGGGCACATTCAGGAGGCTGTTCCCTAACTGTCTTCCTAAAACACAAGCATACTTCCTGGATTTGGTGTCCAAACAGGCCTCCATGTCCTCCCCACCACAAATGTCACTTAGCGAGAATGTATTCAGCATCAGTTCCTTCATCGATGCATTTGGTGTTGGGACAAGGCCGCGAGCAAGGCACACACAGCCTTGCCTTAAGAAACTCATGGTTGAAAAACATTGACAAGTGAGAAAAGCAGCAAGACTCCACAGAATGGCTCAGAAGGGTCAAGCCCACTAGCTTCAGTTATTGGTCGTGTCACAGGATATCTAGAGAAAACGATACCTAAGATAAAATCTGAAGACTGGGCAGGAATTTGCCAATGGCTGTAGGGATCAGGGATCAGGCAACAGGAATCACTTGTGCTTGAGTGGAGAAGCTTATGCAAAGGCTAGAGGCAAGAACTGTGTGTGTGGTTCAGCAGGTCCAGCTCAGGACAAGAACTGTGTGTGTGGTTCAGCAGGTCCAGCTCAGGACAAGAACTGTGTGTGTGGTTCAGCAGGTCCAGCTCAGGACAAGAACTGTGTGTGTGGTTCAGCAGGTCTAGCTCAGGACAAGAACTGTGTGTGGGTTCAGCAGGTCCAGCTCAGGACAAGAACTGTGTGTGGGGGTCAGCAGGTCCAGCTCAGGACAAGAACTGTGTGTGGGTTCAGCAGGTCCAGCTCAGGACAAGAACTGTGTGTGGGGGTCAGCAGGTCCAGCTCAGGACAAGAACTGTGTGTGTGGTTCAGTAGGTCCAGCTCAGGACAAGAACTGTGTGTGTGGTTCAGCAGGTCCAGCTCAGGACAAGAACTGTGTGTGTGGTTCAGCAGGTCCAGCTCAGGACAAGAACTGTGTGTGGGTTCAGCAGGTCCAGCTCAGGACAAGAACTGTGTGTGTGGTTCAGCAGGTCCAGCTCAGGACAAGAACTGTGTGTGTGGTTCAGCAGGTCCAGCTCAGGACAAGAACTGTGTGTGGGTTCAGCAGGTCCAGCTCAGGACAAGAACTGTGTGTGTGGTTCAGTAGGTCCAGCTCAGGACAAGAACTGTGTGTGTGGTTCAGCAGGTCCAGCTCAGGACAAGAACTGTGTGTGTGGGTCAACAGGTCCAGCTCAGGACAGGAGATGGACTGAGCTGGGGATCAGGACCCAGCAGAACTGCAAATGAGGCTAAGGATGATTATTTTATAAAGGGTAATTTCCCAGTTATACAGATTACTCTAATTTTTTATGTATATGGGTTCTTCCCTTGCATGTACGTTTATGTACCACATGCATGCAGTGCCCATGGAGGCCAGAAGGGGGCATCAGATTTCCCCTAACCTGGTGTTACAGATGGTTGTGAGCCACTGTGTGGGTTCTGGGAATTGAACTAGAGTCTTCTATAATAGCAGCCAGTGCTCTTAACCGCTCAGCCATCTCCAGTGAATGATTATTTATTTTAAAGATTTATCTGTTGTCTATTACCATGAACCAGATGTTTAGCTTGAATCTGAAAACAAAATAGACTGAGATCCTTGGCCCCAAGGAGCTCGTGTTTTATTGACAAGAGCCAAAAGGGGAGACAGGTAGCCAGTAAATAAAACCTCTAGAATACAAATGTGTGGTGTATGAAGCTAGAGACAAAGGAGATGGAGGTAGCTGGGGTGTGGCCCAGTGGAAGAGCACTTGCCCAGCACCTGAAAGTCCCTGGGTTCTACTCCAGCATGGAGAGGGAGAGAGAGAGAGAGAGGGAGAGAGAGAGAGGGAGAGAGAGACAGACAGAGAGAGAAAGAGACAGACAGAGAGACAGAGACAGACAGAGAGACAGAGAGAGAGAGACAGACAGAGACAGAGACAGAGAGACAGAAACAGAGACTACAGTTGTAGTTTTGGTCAGTAGAGGGTTTGCCAAAGCCCTGAGGTTGATCCCTGGCATCACATAATACTGAGCATGGTAGCAGACACCTCTAATCCTAGCACTCAGGAGGTAAAAGCAGGAACTTTAGGGGTTCAAGGTCATCTTCAGTTATACAGTAAGTTTGAGGCCAGCCTGAGATACTGAGATACACAAGATGAGAGAGGAGAGAAGGGGGCAGAGAGAGAGGGGGGGGCTAGGAAAAGGCCACAAATGTGTACAGCGTAGGATTCCCAGAGGGAGGCCTAAGCTCGAGAAGAAGGCAGCACCTGAGCCAAGACTCGAAGAAGCTGAGTGTCTAGAACTGTCCATTGGGTTTAGAGAAACTGCTGGGTCCTGGTGAGAGCTGTGTGCTGAGAACAAGGAGCGGCCCACGGGCTTACACAGAGCAACTGCAGAACCAAAGGTTGCTTTGTCTTAAGTGCGTCAGATGCTTAGAGAAGGCAGATCCGAGCGGGAAGAACTCAAGAGCTGGCCATGGCTGCAGTGATGAAGGAGAGAGGATCCAGAGGGCATGCCCGCAGGTGGTGCAGGGTAAAGGTTGCCTCTCCCTCTCCTGTCTTCTTCCCGTACTCCTATCTAGGGAGTGGAAAGTGGGCGGGGGGTGGGGTGGGGTGGGGGTGATTGGATTTCCTTCTTTACCCATTTCCCATTCGTCTCTTCCAAAAATTATGAAAAGGGCGCCTTACCAGCTGCACCAAATAGAGCCTTTCATGGCTTTTTTTGACACAAACACAAAATAACACTCTTCTGTAGGAACATGCCCATTTTGAGCACATCCAAAGGACTAGCTCGTATAGAAGAGAGCTCACCACATTGTAAGCATCCCCTCACTGAATCTTCATGAACTCTCTGTAGAGGGGGCTGTTCTGCTCTGAAGACAGGGGGATCACTGCTCAGGAGGGTTCAGGCCCAGGGCTGCTGAATTCCAGCTCAGTTGGGCCTCGCCTCTCGCTATCACGTAAGTATAATAGATACTTAACTATTATACTTGTACTTACTCTTATTATTACATAAGTCTGTCTGTTATGAATGTCTCTACTAACAGAAAACATAACAGAAAATTAGGTGTCTCCTTTCCAGGACTCAAGATGGCCTCTCTTGCCTCTGAGCAGAGAGTTGAGACTGCTATCACGGAACTCGAAGGCTAGCTCCTCAGTCAACAGCAGGACTTGGCTACGTGTCTCTGTTCGCCTCGTCAGCCCCTTCGCACCCAGAAAGCAAAGCCTTCCTTTTCCCCCAAGAAGAAGCCATCTCTCTGCTGTGCAGCCCAGGCCTCCCGACCCCCTCAGGCCTGATTCCTCGCCACTGCCCTCACTCCTTTCCCTCTCAAGATCTCCCTTTCATCTCACCTCACGACACCTGCAAACTCTTCCCCACCCACGCGTCCGCCTGGAGCAAGCCTTCCTCAGTCCGGGATCTGAGGATGCCGCCCACTCCTTCCTATGCCTTCCTTGCTCCTCACCACTCTCCCTAAGCCCTTGGGACCCTCCCGAAAATCCCAGAAGCCACGTAGGCCAAGACCACTAGTGCGCCCCCTTTCCTGGCTTGTGACTATTAAACCAGAACCAAGCAAGCAAACGAGGTGGCCGCAAACAGTTCCTCGGAATTCACCACAAAGGGGATCCTGACAACTCCTGAACCATCATTTACAACACCCTCAACATCCACCCCAGGCGGTTCTCACCCACTTCTCAGATGAGGAATGGGGAGGGGGGCACCGAGAGGACTCAAATAAGCTTCTTGGGGTCACATTAAAAAGATCCCGAGATTCCAGTTCACTACCACGTGAACAGGAGCCGGCAGAGTAACAGCCACGGGTCCACAGAAAAGTATTTTATATGAGACTGTTTTAATAGAACTGCGGCCGGCGTTACCAGCAGCTGTTCTACGGCAGTGGTTCTCAACCTCCCTGACGCTGCGACCCTTTAATGCAGTTTCTCCTGCTGTGGTGACCCCCCACACACACACCCATAAAATTCTTCATTGCTACTTCATAACTGTATTTTTGCTACTGTTATGAATAGTAATGTAAATGTCGGATGTGCAGGATAGCTGATAGGCGGCCCCCTCTGGGGAGGTCGGGACCCACAGGTTGAGAACCACTCCTCTGTGGTCTTCATGTTAGGAAGAACCCAGGAAGGGAGAAGGTGGCTCTGTGGTGGAGGGGGAGAGGAGGGGGCTAACTCCTCCCACTTTTTCTCAGCACTCCGTGGGCTGTGGGAACAGCACACTCCTGCCAGAAGGAGTCCTGTGTTCGCTGTCCCCGTGTCCAGGACAGCCCTCCTTCACCCACCCTCTTCCCCGGGGCTCCTGCAACATTTTCTCCAAATAGATGCTCCTCTGCTTTGATGGAGTTGCTTTCCCAATAAATCCACCCTAGGTAAGAAATATTTTAAGTCAAAACTACATTTAATACACCTAACCTGCTCCGTGTTACAGCTCAGCCCGGACCATCTTAAATGTGCTCAGGATACTTCCAGTATCTAACACAAAGCTTGTATTGCAATACTTTCACAGAATCCATTGTGTGTCCTACTAAAAGTGAAAGGTTCTGTAGGCAGCCTTCTTACACCTTGATAAAACTGGAAAGTCAATAGTGAAACCACAGTAAGGGTCCTAGTCAGGGTTTCTATCGCTGCGATGGAACACCGTAACCAAAAGGCAGCCTGGGGAGGAAGGGGTTTATGCAGCTTACACTTCCACAGCACTGCTCATCATCAAAGGAGTCAGGACCCGAACTCAAACAGGGCAGGAGCCTGGAAACAAGAACTGATGCAGAGGCCATGGAGGGGCGATGCTTCCTAGCATGCTCTTCGTGGCTTGCTCAGCCTGCTGTCTTATACAACCCAGGACCACCAGCCCAGGGGTGGCCCCACCCACAGTGGGCTGAGCCCTCCCACATTGATCACTAATTAAGAAAATGCCTTACAGGCTTGCCGACAGCCCGATCTTATGGGGGCATCTTCTCAGTGGAGGCTCCCTCCTCTCAGATGACCCCCGCTTGTGTGGCATTGACATAAAACTGGCCAGGACAGCAAGTGAGAGACAATAGCATGCTTTTTCCAGGTCTGCCTGATGACAGAGCTGTTGGCCCCTTGGCGGGAGAGGGCAGAGGCTCCTCCACAGCCGTGCTGGAAAAGCAACTGGGCTTTGATGAGTCCCGACTGGGTTTCTCGGCTTGGCCTGGCCTCGCCATCAGCATTCTGCTGGCTCAAACTGGAAGAGAGCCTCAAGTTCAAACGTCTTGATGACTAAAGTGTTTGAAGGCACAGGGGGAAGTCACACCAGGCAGGCTGGACACTGCCCATCCCCAGAAAACCAGGCTCTCGGGGTCACTGAGGAAGTGGAGCCAGCCACCGCACATCCTTATAGTGTTCAATACTCAGTAACATGGAAAACATTTTTGACTAACAGGAAGTTTTCCAAATGGTGTTTTGGCATGGAGGATGAAAAGCGTAGGTTTTTTGCATATCTTTTTAGCTCTCTCACACGGGTTTATAGCTAAAGCCCAGAGTTCATTAGACTTGCAAAGAGAGGCTGAACTTAGGACTTAGCGTTGGCCTGTGCTCACAGTTACAGGTCAGCACCAGGACTGTGTCTGAAGTTACTTAAAGAATTCTTGTCCCCAACAGGCATCTCCAGCAGTTACAGCAGGCCCTTGCAGATGACTTTCGGTCTCACCTGGTTGCTCAGGCTCCTCCCTCACAGGAGAGCAGAGCTTATCCCAAGCCACAGTGTGGCATCGTTGTACAGGGCTGCGGCCTCTCCCTTCCCTGAGCACGGGCGGAATGGCTCGGTGCCAACATCGGCACCGTGATGCTCTGGCTCCTCGGGGAACGGGGAGGGGGGGGTATCAGTGGTGTGGAGGCTGTGATGGTGTGATGGTACAGCCTGCTCGCTTGCTTGCTTACCACGCAGGTTCCTAACCAGGAGCCTCGCACCTTCGTGGCTTCCCCTGATTCATTTCCGAGCTGAGAGGATGGTGGAGAAAGTGAACTTGAACTTCCTGTTGAGCCCAGTTCCAGCGGCATTGGCAGGAGAGAGGACACAGTTGCTGGCTCACTGATGCTCCTAAGAGTGTCAGGTAGGGAGGACAGGGATAAAGGGGACCCCTACCTAGGGCTGAGCAAGCGCTGTCCCTGCCCCCGCCCCCAGCTGTCTTCATGAGACTGGAGGAGTTCTGCTGTCACTGTTCCTGGAAGGCAGCCTTGCTTACAGTCCTATCATCAGGCCCCCTGGACACCGCCTAGTGCCAAGCAAGGTCTCCGTGGGTATGTGCAGGTCGGCCACTTACTCCTCCCTGTCAATTTACCGAGCCAAGAGAGCCTGCATGAGACAGCAGCGGTTTGAGGAAGTAGTGGCCTAAATAAGCTACTTGTTCCCTCTCTGAGTGGCAAGTTGATCAAGTGTGATACAACATGAAGATGTCTGGGTCCGACCGCTCCACGCTGTTGCTGCATATAGAAAGCATGCTTCTGGTGTGCTGAGTGGGGCCTTGCTCTGTGCCAGCATCCCCACACTCAAGATGGGGACAGATATTACAGCATCCCAAGGTGGCTCAGTACTCCAAATTCCCAAGTGTGACAATACATAACCATGAGCAGTTACCAGGAAGCCTTGGCTGCTGCCCATGGTGATGACACTCCCATTTTCTCTTAATAAACTGTAAAACACAAAGCCACTGGTATCCTTAACCCCCCCCCCAAAAAAAATCAGCCTGAAAAGGCCCAAAGCAGCACAGACTTCACAGATCTGTGTCCTGTTAGTTCTTTAACTTTTAATGAGGTTAATAGCAATGCTAAGAAACAGGACTGTTTCCCCAGATAGACAGATGATAGATGAGAGATAGATAGAAAGACAGAAAGACAGATGATGGATAGATGGGTAGATAGATAGGTAGATAGATAGATAGATACATACATACATACAAACATACATACATAGATTTTTTTTTTTTTTTTGTGTGTGTGTGTGTGTGTGTGTGTGTGTGTGTGTGTGTGTGAAAAGCTGTACACCAAAGATCTGGGGTGTGGATAAATAGTAGAGAACTTACCTACTTACTTAGAATATACAAGGCCCTGAGTTCTATCCCCAGTCACACACACACACACACACACACACACACACACACACACACACACACACACACAGTATGTTTTTGGATGTTTCTCCAAAAGAACTTTTTTAAGTACAGAAGTAAAATAATGATAAAGTGCTTTCCCGTTTATAGCTCTCAAATCAATGCCCCACCCCCACCCCACCCCCCACAGATGACAGGTGATCTTGGTTGCCCTGCAGATTAGTCGATTCAGCCCAGCATCCGAATGAACACGTACCCCATGCTTTCTCTCCAGCCCCTTGCCTTCCAGCCTTCCTTATCCAGACACCAACTGCAGACACTTGGGTCAGGTTGCTGTCTTTCCTCCGTAAACATGACCGGTCATCACCACTCAAGCAAAAGAAGGTCCAGGAGGAGGAAAACCCAAACTCACATAGAGAGGCGCCCACCCCTGCACGCTCAAGTCCGGAGAAGTAGAGATGCGGAGTCCATGGGCACACAGAGCTGTGTGTGTGCCTGACTTACAGCGCCCTTCTCCCTGGGGGAGGGCTCCCCTTACCGTTCTGGACCACGCTGATGAGGGTGACGATGACCAAGAGCACAACATTGCCCACAGTCTCTTGATCCATCCTTGCTTCGGGCTCTCCAGAGACAACGAGTGTGGCCCCAGCGCCTCAGCCTCACTGTGTAGAAAGGGGAAGTGCCAGCCTGGCTCCACCTTTCACCATCAGAGTTTCCAAAGGTCCCAGCACAGTCACTCACAGCTACTGCTCCTCCCCCTCCTCTGTCTCCCCTCCTCCTGCTCCTCCCCCTCCTCTTCTTACTCCTCCTCTTGCTCCTCCCCCTCCTCTTGCTCTCCCTCCTCCCTTTGTTCCTCCCCCTCCTCTTCTCCCTCCTCTGTCTCCCCTCCTCCTCTTGCTCCCCCTCCTCCTCTTGCTCTCCCTCCTCCCCTTGCTCCTCCCCCTCCTCTTGCTCTCCCTCCTCCCCTTGCTCCTCCGCCTCCTTTTTTTCACTCTTTCTTTTCTAATTATTATTCCACAAAGTGGCCGGACTATGGTTCGGTGTTGCCTTCCAGGAATAGCAGAGTCTGGGGGAAAAGCAAGTGTGTGGCACGTTCTCTGATTTGCTTGTCATGGGCAGCCTCCCTGAGAGCATTCAGCAGGAATTCCGGACCCTGACCAGCATGAGGCTCCAGGAGCCACCACCGTTTCCTGTATTGTCAAAAAGAAAGAAAAAGGGGGCCAGGGGGCGGTGACACACACCTTTAATCCCAGCACTCGGGAGGCAGAGGCAGGCAGATCTCTGTGAGTTCGAGGCCAGCCTGGGCTACAGAGTTCCAGGACAAGCTCCAAAGCTACACAGAGAAGCCCTGTCTTGGAAAAAAACAAAACAAAACAAAAACAACAACAACAACAAAAAAAAGGTAATGAGATTTTAAAAAATAAAATCAAGTGAATACAGCACCAAAAAGACCTGTGTACTGAGTATATCCTTTGTTCTTTGAATTCCTAGTGGGCAATGCCATTTGACACATTGTAGGATGCAGCATAGCAGCCACATAGGCTGGGATGAACGGATGGATGGTGAATGAATGAATGAGTACATGAATGATAACGAGACAGCTGGTGTCTCATTTCCTGCAATAAAAGAAAGCTATGGGGCTTGGAGCTAGCTTCACTGGTAAAGGATTAACGATGCAAGCATGAGGACCTGCATTCAATCCCCAGTGCCACACAAGTCAAGTGTGGCAGAACACTTATAACCCCACACTAGGGGAAGAGAGACAGGCGAATCCACGGGACTCGCTTAACAGTGAGTTCCAGGCAGGGAAAGGCCGTGTCTCAAAAAATAAAGTAATGGCACTGGAGGAGCTACAGCCAAGGTTTACCTCTGATCTCTACAGGCACGTACATGTGAGTACACACACACACACACACACACACACACACACATTAAAAAAAGGAAAATGAATAATAGGAATTTATACATTCAATTACAGATTAAAACTAAACCAAAGAATACATCAAGAGTCAGAAACAGGGCTGGAGAGATGGCTCAGAGGTTAAGCGCACTGGCTACTCTTCCAAAGGTCCTGAGTTCAATTCCCAGCACCCACATGGTGGCTCACAACCATCTGTAATGAGATCTGGCGCCCTCTTCTGGCATGCAGGCAGACAGAGCACTCATACCTAAAAGATAAATAAATAAATAAACAAACAAACAAACAAACAAATAAATAAATAAATAAAATTTAAAACTCTATTTAAAAAGAAAGAGTCAGAAACAGGATTACCAGACAGCCCCCAAGGAGAATGCCCAGAAGAGGACTGTCAAACACTAGACTGGCTTCCCTGAATTTATTTCCAGCTTAGTGAGAAGAGTGCAGTTTCCACTGTGACAGGAAGTATATGGGGGAGACTGTATCTTCCATGACAGGGAATCTGTACCCTTGAAATCACGACAATACAGTCAGCTAAACAAGAACTGAACGATGACACCAGTTGACAGGTCAACAAGTCTGGGGAAATCTCACAAGACCCCACAGATGAATGCAAGCAACTAATGACCACTGAGTGTGGGAGAGTTAAGTCTTCCCTAGGGATGAGTCCCCAATTGGTCATCCAACACCCAGTGGTCAGCCCTAATACATAGACATACAAGCAACATTAAATGAACTCAGCAGTGTATTTATTTGCTTGTATGTACATGTCTGTAGGTAAATAACAGTAATAATTACAGAAAGAGGCAAATGGACTTGAGAAGTTATAGGGAGTAAGAGGGGATGTTATATCATTTATATATAAATATGTATTTATATTACAGTTCTCACATATAAGTTACGTTGTATGGGTAGACCTGCTGGTGGGTACCACTCAACACGACATCTTTCTGTGTAAATAGCAATCCTTCGGAAATTATACAGAAAATGCAAACTGCCTGCAATTTTTGTCCCAGACCCAAATATTCAGGAGGCTCTTTTGTGAAAACCTCACACTGAACGAGGGCGCTGGTCACCGTCTTTGTCGGCAGCAGAGAGCCACATCTGGGAGTGGCTGGCCAGCGTGGAGATGAGGCCATTGCCCTACACCTACAGCGGCACAGGTCAGATCGTGTGTCCTCAGTGAACTCTGAGATGTTCACAGAGGGGGTGTGCAGAGCTGGGATACACAGGACTCAGTGGTATATAGTTAAGATTAAATGTGAGGATCCGTTCACACAGAGGCCAAGGAACCCCATGATCTGCCATGTGCCAGCCGGAGACCCAGGAAAGAAGATGGCGTGCTACAGTCGGGGACACCAATGGTACAAGGCCGTGACTGAATCCCAAAGCCAGGGAACCAGTCCTTCCGTCTCCAGGGGTGGAAGATGGATGGCCCAGCTCAGGAGAGGGGGAATTCATTCTTTCTCTATCTGTTCCTCTTGGGCCTCAATAGACTGGATGTTGTTCACCTAAATTACTGAAGGAAGATCTTCACCCGATCCAGTGATTCAGTGGACTCGTCTAGAAGCATCCTCACAGACTCACCCAGAAACAATGTTTTTATCAGCTAACTGGGCATTCCATAACCCAGGGACCCGATACACACATTAGCAATCACAGAGTTGCGACACACTTGGTTAGGGACTCAACACTAGCAAGATTTGTGTGTGCACCAGGGTGAGATCTCAGAGGACAAATCTGAGCACCCATAAAGATACGGTGTCAGCCATGGGCTGGAGAGGCCGCTCAGTGATTAAGAGCACTGGCCGCTCTTCCCAGGCAGGGATCCAGGTTCAGCTCCCATGCACAACCATCTGTAACTCCAGTTCCGGAGAATCTGGTGCCCTCTCCTGGCCTCCAGAGGCACTGCACACAAGTGGTGCACAGGCACACATACAGGCAAACACTCATACACATAAAAGAAAAATAAATAAGTCTTTTTTAAAAAGCTAGCTCTTGCCGGGCGGTGGTGGTGCACGTCTTTAATCCCAGCACTTGGGAGGCAGAGGCAGGTGAATCTCTGTGAGTTCGAGGCCAGCCTGGTCTACAAAGCGAGTTCCAGGAAAGGCGCAAAGCTACACAGAGAAGCCCTGTCTCAAAAAACCAAAAAAAAAAAAAAAGTTAGCTCTTCCAGCTGGCACAGAGGCCCATGCCTGAAATCCTAGCACTTGGGAGGCTGAGACAGAAAGACTTAGAATCTGAGTTTAACCTGGGCTACAAAGTGAGGCTCTGTCTCCAAAAACTGGAAAGAAAAATTGACTATCTTAGTGATGACAAAGCAGGTATGAAAATCAGTCCCCCTTAAAGGATCTCCAGACACACGGAAGAGAAACAGTTCAAACTGGCTTGTGTGAAAGGGAGAACTCTGGCCCAAAGACTCTGAAGGGCTGAAAAACAGAAAGTTATAAGAACAGAAACGGGGCTGGACCTTGGAGCTAGGGAGGGAGCTCTCCTCTCTCTCTCTCTCTCTCTCTCTCTCTCTCTCTCTCTCTCTCTCTCTCCACACACACACACACACACACACACACACACACACACACACACACACACTCAAACATCACATTCTAAAATGGAGCACGGCCCCTCCCGTCTCCCTTGCATGTTGGACTTTCTCTGTGTAGAACAACTGTCTCCACGCAGTGGAGACATTCTCGCCCACCACTTGGGTTTGTTTGTTTGTTTTTTGGTGGCTGGGGAGACAGGGTCTCACTATGCAGCTCTGGCTGTCCTGGAACTCATGTGCACCAGGCTGACCTCAAACTCACGGAGATCCGCCTGCCTCTGCCTCTCTAGCGGAGGGATCAAAGGTGTGCGCCACCACACCCAGCCCAAGTTGGGGCTTTTAACATCTTATGGGATCTGTCATCTGGCAAGGGTAGACTCTGCTAAGCTAAGCTCTGAGGACAATCTCAAGTTGTCAAGATTTCTATTCCCAGGAGGTTAAACAAAGGCCAGGAAGAGGAAAGAACCTGGAGGAGGGGAGCATCCCCTGGAAAATAAGGCCCTAGGAAGTGTTGATAGACCCACCTTAGAGCTGGGACTTCCCACCATTTATAATCCAAAACTAAAGTTTCCAGATTGGGAGGCTGGGGAAAGGGAAATCTGTGGGGAGCACCAATGTCCTTGCGCCCACAGAGCACTAGGGAGCCAGGAATGTTAACACACGGGCGCCTCTTCTCAATGGAGGAGATAAAATACCTGTTTGCCAGCCCAGAAGGCTGGGAATAGATTTTGTTAATGACCTGGAGACCTTTCTACTATCAGTGGCTGCAGACCTCACCCACCTTTTGCTACAGAGTTGGGCCTCACCCAAATTCCCCAGAATGTGTGTCCTGGACTTTCCCTCCCTAGACCGTTATCTTTAGTTCCCAGTCAACAGAACCCATCCTTAGGGGGATGTCACATGTACTCTATGCTATCTCGGTCAGAGGCCACACTAGATTCTAGGCCCTTTAGCTATAGAACCCACCCTCACCGTCACATGTACTTTGTAAAGGAGTGTCTATATAGTCACACCTTAAGCTTTATGGTGCACCTGAAATTGGACTGATTGTTGCCTGGAAATCTTTACCCAAATTGTACTGTATTAGACTCCCCAAAGTCTGACCCAGGTCTGATTCCCTGCCTGGATCCCTGCAGGGACCCCTCAGAAATGTACATGTAGAAGCCAGAAGAGAACCTCAGGTGCCGTTCCTCAGGCACTGGCCACCTGTGAGTGTTTTGTTT